GATGAGGAGGAAGGAGGAGGAGAAGGAGGAGGAACGAGGAGGCGGAGCGGAGGAGGAGGAGAGGAGGAGGAGGCGGAAGGAGGAGGAGGAGGAGGAGGAGGAGGAGGAGGAGGAGGAGGAGGAGGAGGAGGAGGAGGAGGAAGGGGAGGAGGGGAAGGAGGAGGAAAAGGAGCAGGAGGAGGAGGACGAGGAGGAGGAGAAGGAGGAGGCCCTCCTGACGTTAACCCTGGATGATTGGCTCGGTCCGACGGTGCCGCATCGAGGCAAGTGCCCTGTGGCGGGGCCCAGGCCAGCTGCGTGCAGCAGCTTCCGCACCCCACCGGCCTTCCTATAGACAAGCGCGCTCCACTGCTCACAAAGTAACCACTCGCAAAAATGGCCTGGATCCGCCGCTGGAGATTTACGACCCTTTACATCGAGGAAGACATGCTTTTTTCGGACGTTTGCGAATAGGCACTCTGCGAGTGGTAGAACGCGCTCGGTGACTCCCGAGCCCCGCACCGCGGCCACTCCCGCGGCGCGCGCTGTGCGCCTCACGGCACGGTGCCAGGCTGAGCTGCGGGGGGCTGCCACTGTGCAAACCAGTTCGAATCGCGGACCCGGCGCTCGCAGAAGTCACGAGTCGGAAGAGCTGCCTACGGCCGGGAACTCTTGCACGGCGTGCTGCGGCGGCGGCCCCAGCGGCACGCTGTGCCTTGCGGGGGGTATAGCGTGTCCCTCCCATGAGATCCGACGTTGTAACAAAAACTGCAACGCCGCAAAAAATCACGACCGGCGCCCCGGATCTCATCTTCCTGCGCTATTTCTCGAGCCAGATCGATCTGCGAGGGTCCCGGGGCCCGAAATGGAGCGACAACGCCCGTCGTGGAACAACTGCAGCGCCAGGATCTCAGGGTCCGCTCCGCCCGGCGGGAGGCAGGGAGAAAAGCTCGGGACATGGACGCTCGGGGACCGGGAAGTCACAGCGTGTCGCGCCGGAGCGCGGTGGGCCAGGCAAAACCGGCGGCGCGAGCGTGGGCCAGGGAAGCTGTACTGTGGGGAAACGTACCGATACTGCTACAGTCGGGGTGTTGACCGAAGGAACCCTCAATCAGGAACGGGGCCCCTTTTCTCCATAAGTCAAGTTTCGATTTGCCAGCGACAACCTAAGGAGAACCAAAGGCAAGCTGCACAACAATTAAGGAACACTGAGCCCCTCCCCGAAGAAAAGAGTTCCTTCTTCAGCGCCCCGACTGTACTCCCCCTCTCCATCTGACAAGAAGTTCGAAGCGACTCCAGCCGTGGCAACGGGGGCCCTCCCGGAGGCCCACACAGGCGGAAGCGGGACAAGAGCAGCGGCATCGGTAACCCTTCTCCTCCTCTGCTACTCTGCACGAGGACCGATCACTTGCCGACCTGCGCCTTCGCCAACACAGCGACTGTGAACCGCCTCTTCCTCGGCCTTGGCGGGGCCATGCTCCTGGGGCGCCCGTGCCCTGCCGAAAGGGGCCCAAGGTGAGACTTACGTCCACGAGTGTCTGCTGGGCGCTGAGATGCACACTTCCGAACAGTGCTTCCGCAGATGGAGGGCTCCCAAAGGGGTCCGAATACAGTCATCGGGCTACGGCAAGGAACGCACACTAAGGAACGAAGGGGCTTTTCTGGCCGCGGCGGGCCTAGGCCGCAGACAGACTCCACGACAAAGATTTAAGGAACGGCCTGAAAACCCGATCGACTCCCGAGCCCAAAGCGGTCCTTATTGCAGCGTCTTGACTGTAGATGGGGTCAGAAGATCGCTCCGCATCGCCGATGCACCGCCGATGCATCGTCGACGCGTCGGCGACGTCGGAAGTGCGTCGGCAGTGCGTCGGCAATGCGTCGGCATGGAGATGACCGGGCTCCAGATTTCGGTCGGGCCTGTCCCTCTACAGGAGGAATATTCACAAACAGTCCAAGACTAGTATGGGGACGATTTTCTGAATATTTCTGGGCATTTTTGAACTGTCTTAAACTATTTTAATTTTTTTGGTCCCAAATACCCCTGTAGGAGGACGGGCCCGACTTAACTCCAGATCGAGCCGCATCGCCGATGCATCGGCGATGCGGCGCGATCCTCCGACCCCATCCGCTCGGACCCACGCGCTTACGGCTTCTCGCTCGCGCCGTCCAAAGCTGGCCCCGCGTGGCGGCCTGCTGGCAAGCCAGACCCCCGACATCATGAGTTTTTTCCATGACGCGACCCCCCGAGGTCCAGACCCATTCCTAGGAAGCAACTACTGGGAGGTTCTCGTCGGAAAGATTAATAAAGCCTCAACCCTTCTATTCCTGAATCTCGCCCCTCTCTTTCCGCTACGCTGCAATCGGAGAGACATCTAAATGAACTGCCGTGCATCTGAGGCCTGCCCGCCGCTCAAGACGGACGCGGCAGGCAGGTGAGAGAAAGACAGAGCCTCTCTGGAGGCTCGGGCTGGCACGGCAGACTCAGCAACCAAGGCGAGGGCTGGCCACGGGGGAGAGAAAGGACTGCGGAAAATACGGGAGATCGGCTTTGTGGACCAAAGCCTCAACCCTTCTATTCCTGAATATCGCCCCCCTCTCTTTCCGCTACGCTGCAATCGGAGAGACATCTAAATGAACTGCTGTGCATCTGAGGCCTGCCCGCCGCTCAAGACGGACGCGGCAGGCAGGTGAGAGAAAGACAGAGCCTCTCTGGAGGCTCGGGCTGGCACGGCAGACTCAGCAACCCGTCACCCCATTCTTCGCAGCAGCGCTGCGCTCCCGGCTCAGCTCCGACACGAACAGGAAGAACGAACTGAAAACGACAACGAACAAGTGCGAGACCAGGCGGATGACCACAGACTCTTGGAAGCCCACAGGGACCCGGATGAAAGAGAGGATCACGAGGGGGGCCTCATGGAGCACCATAAGGAAGGCCAAGACGAAGCAGGGATCCCGTCGCGAACCCACGTAACAGCCTGTGGCCACATCCAAGATACCTGAGAGCCCATCTGAAAGATCCCCGTCCTGGTCGCCTCTGGAAGTTCGGACATATATGTGGTAGAGACCAGTTCCTGGAGGTAGATGAGCATGACTTTCTGAGACATCCAACGACCCCTATTCTGGACGAGATGCGGATCATCCGTCTCCAGGAAGAGCTGGGTGGCGCCACCCGCACGGAGAGAAGCAAGATCGAGAGCTCCTCTGCATTTTCCCCCCAGGTTGAGAGGAAGCCGCAACTCCCGGCAGAGGCTGTTGAACCGCTTCCTGAAGGTCTGGCCGCTCATTGGCCAGAGCAACGCCTCAGGAGGTGCGGCGCCGAAGATGCAGTCCAGCATTTCGACGATGTCGGGCGGCTCGACTCGGGCGCTCTGGATCTTGGCCCCAAGCGTGGCCGTCTTCGGGAGTTGGATGGTGAAGAGCGCGTACGGCCTCTCGAAAAGGATGTCTCGCGGCAGTACAAGCTGGGCCCGCTTTGACAGCAGGAACTCGCTCGGGCGCATGATGCCAGCGAGCCCCGCAGCGAGCAGCACCGCAATCCGAGGCCACCCCCACAGGAGGCAGAGGCCGGTCAAGGCCTTCAGAACCACCAGCGGCATAGCAATGTGGTGGTTCCCTGGTTCGAGGGCAATCCACTGGTATCCAAGGTCCCACGCAGCCCCGAGTAGCTTCCTGAGCTCTGGCGCCCGAGAGGCCACGGCGTTCACGGTGTCAGCAAACCTACTGTAGGGGGCCTCCTCGCGCCACAGGTATTGGCCAAACTCAACCAGAACTCCGTTGATGATGCGAGGGCCCCCCATTGTCTGCTCCAGCAAGCTCGCCAGACAAGGGTAGCCGGCAATCTCTAGTAACCACTGGTCGAATTCAATAAGTAACCTTTCTCTGGAACGGCGGGTAGCCGCACGAATCGGACGCCCTGAAGGTAATGGAACTGCACGACGATTAGCAAATTCTGGATCATGTTTAGCAAGACGAGATCTTCCAAAATGTAGCATAGCGGGGCTGCGGATGCCTCCAGCCGGCTCGCAAGTAGTTGCCAGCCAGACACGAGAAGAGGGTACCAGTTCTGCTCCAAAATGGTGCACCCGCCAGCTTTGCGATCGTGCAGGTGTCAATGATGCAAGAGCCCTGCGCGATGAAACACAGGAGCGAATTCACTCTTCTCCGACTTCACTGGGACGCGAGTCACTCCAGACGCCGTCCAGCGGCCTCCGCCCGAGCCCTGCCCAGGCACCCCGCAGAGGGCGGGAGCTGGGGGCAGGCGACGCCCCTCGGCAAGGGCGGTCCGCAGCGCTCGAAGTCCGCTGCTCCCCAGCAGCAGGCAGACGAGCCGCGGCCACGCAGCGCAGGCCTTGGCTGTGGGTAGCCGCGTCAGCAGCCAGTCCAGCAGGTCCGCGTGCTCCAGCCAGTCAGGCCTCGGACGGCATGCTGCGCGGACCGCCTGGTGCCGCGTCGGGTCGTCTGCAACGTTGAGCCGCGAGGGGGCGAAGGAGTAGGAGGGGTAGAGGGACCCGGCGATCTGCAGGGCGCAGGACTTCTCCAGAGGACGATTCAACGCCCTGCTCGAGGACCGCCCCTTCGCCTGAGAACACAACGTGACTCTGGAATCAATAAGCGCAGCGAACCTACGATCTCCACCATTACGAACGAGACCCTCCAAGAGATTCACCATGACATTCGACTCCAAGATGTTAATGTGCCCCGGGGACCTCCAAGCCCATCTCCTAAGCTCCTCCCAAGACCCCGACATCAGCAGCTCGTTGATCACAAGCCGCTCAGAGCCCACCGGGGGCCGCATATCATCGCCTACCTCTCGTCGCCGTCTGATAGCCTCCAGGTGCCGAGCTCCCAATGCCACGACGACCCCACGAGTATATGTAGCAGTATATTTAGTAGCCGCTCCCTCGATAATCGTGTGCGCGTGGGCGCGATGGCGCCGTGTGTTAGGACAGCGCGCCGCCATCTCAGTGAACTCGGGGAAGCCTACGGTCATCCAGCGGAATTCCTTGCGGTAGACGACGACACCATCGAGGGCAGGGTCATGGTAGGCACAAGAGGCAAACCAGGTCTCGGCGGCCCCAAGCGCCAAGAGGCGAGACCACTCCTGCAACCAAGCCATCTTAGACAGGCGGGGCTGCTCTAGCCCTCCAGGAGCTTCTACGCGGAGCCCTACCAACATAAGTAGCATACAGCGGAAGGCCAGCAGGTTGCCCAAGCGCGTCTTGGGATCTGAGCGATTGAACCCGATAGGCTGACGGTAGGAGCGGACAGCGGGGTGAGCGGCGGGCGAGAACGTCGTACACGGGGGCTCCGCAGCAAAGGTAAGGATGCGGCCCTCATACAGCATCCACACCGCCCACTCCATCAGACGGCACGACGATAGGTCATAGTGCCGAGAATACGATATGTCAATGACAGGCCCGACGAGGACACCCTGGGACGCGAGGTACCGAGTGAGGACACCAGAGCCGCCGGCGAACTCGATGAAGTCGAAGACCATGGCGATCCCGCGGCGGACGTAGGTGGGGAGATCCGACTCGACGCACTGCGCGCTCTCCATGGAGTGGGGGAGCGCGCCGGCGCTTCGTAGGACTCCACAGGCCCGGCTATCCAGACGGGAATAGCCACCTCGACGTTCACCACAGCGCCAAACGGCCGACGACAGCGCGGGCGAGACTCCCAACGTACAGATGGCCCCAAAGGAAGGAGAGGCGTCGGTGGCGTAGATGACGTCACTGAAGGGGACGGTAAGGTCCGTCTCGGCGGCGATAGACAACACAGAGGCCAGGCCAAGCTCGTCCTTGACGGCACGAGGGATAACATGATCGACGGTGCGGTCCTGGGCGACGAAGCTATATACGTGGTTGAGGCAGACGAATAGGGGCCGACGGTAAGCGAACACTGCACCCAAGGACCCCACTAGTGTATCCACCAGCGCCACAGGGGCTCGAGGAAGCTGAGCAGCCCGAAGACAGAGCTCCGCCAACGGCAGTCGCCGCTCGACGGGCGCACCCACTGGTACGTACCCTTGATCTACCATCCGTGCTGAGGAGTCGACCTCAGCGCCAACGACCACGAAGCGCTCGGCGTCCCTGACCTCCTTGGAGGAGCTGCCTGATACCGAGGAGTCTACGTAAGCCAAACGCCCAGCACGATCGAACAACTCCAAATCCCGACGAGACTCGCCTGGAGGATAAGCGTGACGCCCAATAACAAGGTAGTCGTCAATACACAAGCCTTCCACAACGTCACCACGGGGGAAGGGGGCACGACCATCTATGAAGTTCTCGGGCGCAAGCAGGCCGTAGCTCCTGAGAAGATTGAGGTGGCCGCCCTGAGTGACGTCAACGGTAGCGTGGTCCCCCATGGGATTGGAAGCCAGAGTGCCGTGCACGAACCCCGAGGCGCGCGGGACAGCATCTGATCCCGCCGGCTCTAGAAGAAATCGGTCTCCCAGGTAGGCGCGACGACCCAGACGACCTG